CCTACTGGCTGCCCATGACCGACTGCTGAGGATCGTGGTGGGCCCCTCTGTTTTCGTCACCTGATCGGCAGACTCGGTAACCAGCAAGGGCTTATGCTGGGCGCATCTTCGACACTTCAGTGATGTTCTCGTGATCTCTGTGGTCTTCTCCACATGGGCCCGTTAGGAAATCGATAAAAACCGCGATGGGCTCCTCCTGACAGGCTTTAAACACCCCCCAGCAGCAGGCCATCCTATCTTGCGTATACTTTCCCCCCACGAGCGACAGTTTTTCTCCTTAAAATTCCTCAAATGGCATTCAAACCCCTAGAATTTCCGAACAATGCCTAAAGAGTTCTTTCATTGTCTGCTCTGTTAACTCAGTTCCATTTACTGGCACTAAGATTCTTTTGAAATGTTCTGCTGAACCAATGCATTTCATAGCTGCTCTGTACCAATAGGCAGTTCAAATGCATTAACCTATATTTCCCTTAATAAACCCGATCTGAACCGACCTGACCTGACTCCTCTTGACTTTCAGAGAATGGGAGGGCAAGCTAATCATGACGCAGGACATCCTAGATGCCTGGATGAAGGTTCAGGCCACTTGGCTCTACCTGGAACCCATCTTCAGTTCGCCAGATATTATGGCACAGATGCCAGACGAGAGCCGGAAGTTCACCTCGGTCGACAAGACCTGGAAGGAACTCATGAAACTGGCTACTGTTGATCCCCACGTCCTCAAGGTCATCACCATCGACAAGATGTTGGAGAAATTCAGAAAGGCAAATGAATTTTTGGAGATAATCCTGAAGGGACTGAACGCGTACCTGGAGAAAAAACGTCTCTGCTTTCCACGCTTCTTCTTCCTCTCCAACGATGAGCTGTTGGAAATCCTATCTGAGACCAAGGATCCGACACGAGTCCAGCCGCATCTTAAAAAGTGCTTTGAGGGTATCGCTACCCTCACCTTCACAGATGACCTTGATATTACACACATGAAGAGCAGTGAGAACGAGGTGGTTCAGTTGAAGAATGTGATTTCAACCTCCAAAGCTCGCGGCGCGGTGGAGAAGTGGCTCATCGAGTTGGAGGAGGATATGATTATTTCGGTGCGACTGAACATTTTTAATGCCCTGGAGAATTATGTTGTTGCACCGAGGCGGGAATGGGTGTGCCATTGGTGCGGTCAGGCGGTGTTGGCCATTTCTATGACCTACTGGACTACTTACTGCACCCAGGCCATCGATACTGGCGCCGAAGCAATGAATGACTACCTGGAGGTTAGCCCTGAACTGTTCTTTTGCAAATACGGAGAACTCCTTTACGTTTATAAAAATCCTTTACTGAAAGAACTGTCTAGGCTCTTTACTAATCGTATCCTGTGTGTGAGGTGGTCTTATGTGTGAGTGTTAGTCGCGCCAGCCACCTGCGCTCTCCCGCATCTCCGGTCTTCTCGACTCTGTCTTGACACCGGTTCCCGAAGTGGGAGTGGTGAAAGAATGGGGTAGATTTTCCGCAAGTATTATCTCGCTGTAATCCCCCGGGAGTCGCTGCGTTGCTTCAGCCTGCTGGAGCTCGCGGTGGACATCGTCGAGAGCGACGGTCGAACTGTCGTACGTCATACAGCCCGGCGTTCTGTGACTCGCCTCTGTGAACCCAAACAGACTCTTCTCTAACATACCTCGTATTACTGTTTCTTAGGCGCTGGCCTAAAATTAGTCGTGTTCGGTAGAGGCTGGTGGTATGGAGGTTATCGGCACGTTCCTTACCGAATGCGAGCAAGATTTGCCCGAGGCGTCACATTTGGTGATTATTCGACCATCGGTTTCGATGACGTCCAATATATGCATCAGCAGGTTGGTACAGTGATGGTGACTAGCCACAGGGGGTTCGCTTTAAAGTAATAGCAGACGTAGATAGTGCCAACCACACGCCTCATCTTCATCAGGGGTCAGGAAGACCAGATTGGATCCGGCGCTGGTCGCTTTCTCCCCTGCAAGTGATAAAAGACCGCCTAAATTAGTGTTGGGTGGCAGTAGACTTTGCGTGGGTACTACAGCACTATCTACCCTCACCTTCAATAATTGTTAACACAGGTTCAAGGAGGCCGATACGGATACGGCTACTCCTATTACTACTATTACTAGCTAGCAATGTAGCTGCGCGTTAGTAGTACTGGTATTAACACTGATGCTACCATCTGTCAGAAGTTGCGCTGATTAAAGTTCATATTCCCTTAATCTCAGCAAGAAGTCTACACCTCTGAGCATGCTATTCTGTTTGATGCCCGGAGCACATCAGGGCTTCCCTTGGTTTCCGCCGTCTCACCTCTGTCCACCAAAAGCTGTGTCACATTTTACTAAGTTTGAGCTAGGATACCGCTGCTAGAGGTAATATGCCACTAGTATGAGTGCTCATTCTACTAATCATACTTACTACGACCAGCAGACAGGATATTTTAGTAACATATTCATATAATTGTAGCAAATCTGTCACGCATCTTATTACTGCAACAAGCATTACAGATGGGCATATGAGCTTACGCGCGTCCCAAACTTCATCTGGGCTGATTTGTAACACACCTGGGCGAGCGTTGACGTCCGCTAGGTAAGTAAGACTGTCAACAATCGTTATTCCCATCAGCGAAGTACTATTTCAGGTTGTGGTCGTTTAAAATCAGCCTTCCAGCTTTGTATATTCTAAATTATGGGGTTTATGCTCTAACAGCTGCATAGCATAGGGTGAATAGGTAAGTATTCCGGCCACACTAAATGACGATAAAGCCTCATCTCGTCATCTATCATCTCAGAAGTCTGGTAAACTTTTCCGTCGCGAAGGTAGAGAAAAGGAAATGACCCATGGTCCGATTGGAAAACGTAAAAGTGCGAAGTGATTGGCCACTTCGTGCGAGAGCGACTTACACGCTTGGTTGTTGCTCTGTTAATGTTTAAAACGGTCTTCTAATCAGAAGAAACGCTTCCTACTCCACGCTAGAATTTTCAGATGTGTTCC